GCGGGCGGACGGGCGGACAGGCGGGCGGACGCGGGACGTCGGCGACGGCGGACGGCGACGAGGCGGAACGGGCCGGGACGGGGCGGGATTGAAGAGGAGGAGGCGGCTTGCTTAAGTACATAGTAAAGCAGAGTGGAACGCGGGTGAGCCGCATAGGAGCACATCCAAGCATGTTGCGAGGGGGGAATGGAGCGGTGCGAAGTCGGAAGGCCTACGCAAAACACAAGCGAGAAGCAAGAAGACTGTCGGAGGGAAATGTGCGCAGGGTGATGGGGGAAGCACAGACTCGAGGAGGCGCGCATGATGAGGCAGCATTCCGCCTGAAGGGTGGGGGGAGATGAGAAAGGGGAAAGGGGGCGGGGAGTTGACGACGCGCTAACTCAGCTGGTTCCCTGCTGGCAACGAGCAGCTAAATTGAGCTAGTGTTTGCTAATTCGTCCCACGTGGGCGCGTACTATACTAGTCACTTTCAAGGCCTACGGACGGGCTTCATCTGTTCGTAGTACTATTCGCCATCCTTTCAATAACGACTTTCAACTTACGTTAATAATCGAAATTATTCAGGCACACATAAATACAAGTTCAAAATATAAAAAAAAAATATGGCTAATTTGGACAAATACACTTGGAAAAAATATATCGCATATTAATATGTAATTCTGTGCCAAATATCACACCGCCCCTTACATGAGTAGAGTAAATTATGAAACTACTCGCATTCTCTCAATGAAATAGAGTAAGGTTATAAAAAAATTAATGGAAGAAAACATAGAAGCAAAAACAAATACGAAAACTATTCCTAGCACTGACTTCATCCCGGCCGTCGCCCTCGTTTCCCAACTCAAGACATTCGTTACATTTCCCAGGGTTTCGTGACGTGCAACTTCATTGTGACACACTCATCGCACAATTCTTGACCGGCGGGGATGCCTGCGCAATGTGGCAGAAGAGCTCCCTCATGCTTCCTGTAAAAATTCTCGCATTGGGACAAAATGACATCTCATCCTGACATATCCTTCTAGACCACTCATCCATAACCGGATTAATTTGTCCCCAAAACCCATATAGAAACGTGTTCCACACACTGTTCGCGTTTCGAATTGCACTATCCGAATGACCAACCAAGCACGGATAATGGGAACAGGTGACTACGACCTGGATTCGGGAAAGAATACGTAATGATGAGCACACTTCATAAAATTCATTTACACCATTACAATATCATGAGATATAGGAACTAAAAGCAATTAGAAGCACGTATAAATAAATATTAGTTTACAAATGTAGGTATCATTTAGAAGTCCTACGAATATTTTTTTGCATTGGACCGTTTTTAAGGTAGCCCTTAATTCCATTCAAACAGTGAAAATATGATTTTATCCTATATAACTCTGAAGTGTAATTGATTTGTCTAAAATAAATTCGAATGGTCATCATTGGTAATTACTATTATGTAACGAGTACTTCTGACCGCTGTAAAGGGATGCTGAGTCGCTGTCTGAATAGTGATTTGTAATTGATGACACCGAACAATCTAGAGGGATACGACAACGTATCCATGCTGTGGACATGGTAATAACAATTCGTTTCTCGAAAAAAAAAATTTTTTTTTTTTTTGAGATGACATCCGTACGGTGAATCTCGTATTTGACTGACTGATAATCCCGCAAAGTACCGTGTTCCATTACAACACTTTCTTGCCTTATCTAGAAGCCACCCCTCCCTTATTATTTTAAGAGGATGGTCCCATTTAGAGAAGAACCGGTGCGGAACAGGTCCAGATATTACGCCAGTCTGTTGCCTAAGATAGTTTCCGCGCGTGGCGGTTAACAAACCATTATCAGGCTCCGATAACAAGGTAACGAAAAAATATTCACTGAGCGTGGCGCAACTGTTTCCAAACAAATCTCTCTCTGTGGAACGCCCCTTCTATCTCCCGACCGCTCCCCTATTGCGTATTATTAGACTGTAAGCGTAATTGCACTAATGATGGCGCGTCAGCGGGATCTGTCTACGTCAAGGACAGGGCAGCAGGGGTAATAACGCAGCAACACGCACTGAATTCAATACACGTTTTTTAAGGCAGCGCCAATTCAGTTCACCATGAAGCGTACCGTGTAATACGAGAGAAACATGTGCACACAACACGCGTATTTCCCCCAAGAGAACTTACAATTACTGAATGTAAGCGGGACTGCGCGTGCATTGCGTTGAGTAATTTCCCATTTTCGAGAAAAATGGGAGAATTATACCGCACACCCAAAAAACTGATGTTGCTTATATTTTGGGAGTTTATATTTGTTTTAGTTATTTTAGAAGCCCTTTTTTGAACATTAATATCTGCCTTCCCAAAATATAATAATAGATTAGCTAATATCTAACGATTCTAAAAATGTGTAGCACAGTATAGCTATTCTATGCTAAAATGTGAATATCTCTGTTCCAATACCACAAAAGTATATCTTAATAACTCGTGGCGCAGCGGTCAAACACTTACCGGTAGCGAGGTTTATTTCTCTACCGATCGAATCTCTCCAATCGATCTCCACCGATCGAATTTGTTATAGACGAGAGTTTCATGTCAAGTTTTCACTTTTCACAGTCACATTCCTTCTACCATTGACTCCATCACACTTCCCATTTCAATCTGTATCCTCATCTTATTGGCGCACTGACCTCACAGCCAAGGTGTAGGTAATTATAGTCAACATTTAACTAAAATAACTTCCACCAGGAAAGCATCTCACTCAGTGAAAACCAAGAGCAAGACAGATGGTGAATAACACAAACATGATTATCAATTCCTTGAAATTACACAATAAATCGCAATAAACGGGTGGAGCAGCTTTATTCTTCGACATTACAGTAGCTTTATGGCAAAAAATCTGAAACTACTACTATAAACTCGCAAGAAAATTTAGTGTTTGCAGCATTATATTCTCCGACTATATATGCAAGTAAAACGAAGTCATTTAACAAGGAGGGGGGGGGGCGAGATGACTAAAGATCAGTTCAGAAGAAAAATAATAACTGCTGTAATTTACCTTCGTTATCGCTGTTCTCCATGGCCAATCAATCTCAAGACTAGAAATCATGACAGGCCTCGCAATAATCATGAAATGTTCAACTTTATAGCTGCTCTTCGAACTCCTTCCACAAGCACTTGGCTCCCGCCTGTGTACCCGTCCACTTTGCACGTGTACGCACGATTTTAGACTGGCGTGTCGCATCAATTGTTCACCTTTAGAACTATCAGCTAACTATGGTATCACGTTCACTGATTAAAAGTAGGCAGAAGCTCGTACAACAGAAACTGACAAAATTCATTCACTGCTCCTTCGGCAGCTATCACGCTTCCTTATCTTTACGATTATAAATACACTTCGGAATGTATCGAAAATATGAGATTGTCTAGCGCACTTTGTCCCTCTTTCGCGGGTAACAGCGATACAGAGAGTAAAATTTCATTTTTTTTCACGACTTTCCAAGCATCCGACTCCATGTTAAAGAAAAGAACAAAGCAAGCATCACTGCAACTTCCAGTAGCTGATCATTAATTGGCCTTTAAAACTATTTTATTCCTAGCTTTGGACTTTTTCGAAGTTAATACGTTCAATAAATATGCCAATTTTTGTTTTAGATAAAGTTTTTAAAGTCTGAATATTTTCTTTAGGTTGCAACTAGAAGTTATGAAATAAATTATCACTGAATAAGATTCTCATTATGCAACCAAAAATCAATGGATAACGATGAACGGCTGAATACACGTTTTGTGTCGCTAATCTGCCTCTCCCATAGTGTCAGAGCAGGACCCCTTTATTGATCTCTAGCGAAGGAAAGTTTTGCACCCTTCTCCTGCCTGCGACTGACGCATCCCAATTACAACATCGTATAATGTAGCATACGCCAACGTACAGGGATGGAACCCAAGTTAACTGGTCGAGCAGGATTGAAAGTATTCATCTTAAATGTTAACGACCTGCGATGAATGTGCAACCATATATCCTTCCAGCAAATAGTTAAACAACCATCAACTAATAACTTCCCTACAGGAGAAATCAACCAGACAAACCAGATTTCGGAATGAAGGCACATAATAAGAAAATTAGGGAATAAATGAACCAATAATCCTAAATGAATCTGAGCTCTACTTCATTTCATTCTGTTAAGGCATTTCCTAAAACTACTTTTTGCTAATAAATATGGAAAAACATTTGTGTTCCGCACAGCAAGGCTTTCGAAGTTTGATAAGATAACAATGGATTCTGTTGTCCCCGAACCGAGGCATTCAAGGTCGTAGAAAATATAAGGTTTATTTGATATCAAAGCCCACTTAAAAATGTCAGCAATTTTGTGAGAAGATCAGCGATTTAGTCGATTCGTCTAAAACATGAAAATATCCTACTATTGAAAGCCCTCACTTACGAGGCTTACCAATGCCAGGTATTTATTTTTACCAACCTGCATTTCTGCCCCCTTTGTTTTTGTACAAACACTGTTTATTTCTGAGTTTTGAGTTTAATATTAGGGTTATTATTTTTAAAAAGACTTCGAAAAGAGGAAATATTACAATTCGTTCTGTAACTGTAGCGTCGTGTAACCTGATTGACGTTTCTTGATCACATTGCGTGTGCTTACAATTTTGTTATTTCTCGCATTTTTAATAACATTTGAATTTTTGAAAATTGCTAAATTTCAACTTTTTAAACATTTTTACCTTTATTACTGGAGTTAAATATTAATCTAATGCAACCATTTATTAAATGGAAGAAATTCTGTATTTCATACACATTTTTACCTTTAGGTAAAAATGGGAGTGATTTAATTTATATTCTCAACCCCTCCCCCCGATCCGTCAACTCCGTTCCACCCTCGTCAAGCTCACTGCTCCGCCCCGCCCTCTCCCCCGTCCGCCGCAGTCCTGACCTTCGCCGTTCCAGCCCCGCCATCCCCTGCCACACCCGGGCCAGCCCCTTGTCCGCACAGCTGCAACGCAACCCCTTAATACACACATTCAGTGCGGGTTGCATTGAAATTGGGGTGTATTGTGCCGTGCTGGTTGCGTAAAAACATACTTCGGATAACATTTCGAATAGAAATCTCAAATTTTGATTTTCAGTGGCTCAAACGAATATTTGGCAATATTCGGAAGCAATGACTCCAGTGATTCAAACGTTTTTGTTTTACGATCACACCCACGCGCACACATTTCACGTTTATATAATAGAAAGAAAAAAAAAACAGAAAAAAAAAACAAACAACAAACAATCTTTTGGGCGTAAAAGGAAATTATCGCAGAAACAAAGTGTTTCATCGCGTGCCGGTGGCGAAGTTGGTTTTTGCAACGGGTTGCAGGGGCGTCGGCGGCGCGGCGCGTGGAGGGCGTGGCGGCGCTGCGGCGGGCGCTGGCGGCGCTGGGGGGCGCCTCGGCCAGCGCGCGCGGCGCCGCCTTCCTGGCCGTGCTGGCCGCCTCGCAGACCGCGCCCCGGCGGCGCTCCGCCGTGCTGCTCTTCACCGGCCGGCCCTCCGCCGACGAGAGCTACGGCGCGCTAGCCTCGCAGGAGCTCGTCAACCGCGGATGCAGGGTGAGTGACAGCGCTCCTTCCCGTTGGCATCGCCCTGCCTTCCTCCATCCACCCCCCACCCCTTATGCAAATTCTTAATCTGAATATAAATCTATATCCAGTAAACGAAGTGTATCATTACCTACCGATTTGATGGACCGAGAGGCAGAGGAGCTAGCTTTGGAGACAAGCAAGGCATTGCCATTTCTTAAAATTTCACTGTCATCATTATTTCAGTATCTTCAGGCTGTCATGAATGTACTCATTTTAAACTAGTACACAAAATACCTCTAATCATTACACACCCTCGACAGTAGACCATAATATTAACAAAATTGAACGAGGACGTTATGCTAAATATCCCTTAAGTTACCCGAAAAGGACACGGGAGATTTTGAATTGTTACGAAGAGGAGCTTATCGATTTTTTTTTTTGAGCTAGTGACCCGTTTCTGAAGTACAAAGAGTTGTTTATGTCAATACACATTATCAGTACATTTCAAGCCAAGATTGCCCTCTGTTGAACCCGTCGCAGTTCAGACATCAACAACGCCAAACGAAATATTGTGTCTACATCACAATTTGTGGTTAGTTCACCATATAGTCATTTTTAAAAATACTATCATCCGTCAAATTAAGAAAACGTACGTTTATTTAAGAACGTAATTAACAAGAAACGTTGTATGTTATAAATACAGCCGGATATACTATTACACAGGGGCTCCTTTACTTCACTACATATACTCTCTTTACCGAGGTCTGAAACATCACCAGTTAACTCCAATTCCACTTTAATGTTTCCCACAGAACATAACTTTCCGACAAAGACTTTCGTAACAATTCTCAGTCACGAGTTCCCAGGTGCTTCGGACTAATTAAGAGCCGCAGACGAAACGGTACGTCCGAAGTACGCATCAACCACACAATGTTCTCACCATATTTTCTAACGTTCCAACACAAAATTATAAAACCAAACATTGTACTTCCCTCAAACAAACAAAAGTTACACTTGATCAGATTAACACTATTGTAGAAAAATAATACTGCATTTACTTTAATTCGTTCTGGAAATTTCTTGGTTCAGGCATTTTTTTTAATGAATCTGAATTATTATTATTATTATTATTATTATTATTATTATTATTAGAAAAACAGCCAGGCGACTAAAAAGTAGCACTCTACACATACACGTGCATATTCCAAACATCCTAATACCAATCGTTAAACACATTTTAATTTGACATTTGGCGGAAAGGCTTTTTAGCAATTCTGATGCAGCTTTCTTATCAAGCAACCAACAAAATCCGTCGCGTCGCGTCGCGTTCCGTTCCGTTCCGTTCCGTCCCGTTCCGTCCCATCCCGTCCCGTCCCGTAAAGGCGTCGGAAGCCCTGGGAGCGTTGCAGCCGGCGTGACCGCGCGCGCGCCGTGCCCTGTTCGCAGCTGTTCGTGTGGTGGAGCGGCGCGCGGCGCTACGGCAGCAGCGCGGGGGCGGAGCGGCTGTACCGCGACGCCGTGCAGCACACCGGAGGCGGCTTCTTCGACGCGGAGCGGCGCCGGCCCTCGCCCCCGGGCGACGGCGGCGACTACCAGCCTCTCGTGGGCGACTCTCAGGAGTACATGCAGGTAACGGGCGCCTAGCCCTACACGTTCACGAGCCTCTAGTAGGGCAGCCTCGAATAAAACAGTTTTTACAAAACAGCGTCACGTATCATGTCTTACATGATAGAAAGTAGGTTCCTCTAGATTTGTGAAATTTAATTGCTCTCACTAAAAGAAATTCCGAGTATGTTAAAAAATATTAAGAAGTTTATAGTTAGAACCTACAACGCCAGAATTAAGTTTAAATATATTCAGAATAGTAACCGTATATAAGTTAAAGTAAAAATAATTCGAAACTTCTATTTTTAGTAGTCAAGAGATGTAAAAGAACAGTGGCAATTTAAATAAATAACCCACACACCGGAATCTAGACATCGAAACATCTAGAAATAGGAACCTTTTTTAAAGCAATGATATAACAAAGAACGACACAGCACACTGTATTCGTACAATAGTATAATAATGTGCAATAACCAATATCAACTTTACCCAACTGTTGATATCGACAAACTCTCCACAAAGCGACGTCTACAAGTAAGACAATGAAATTGCATAACATATTATGCCCGAAAGTTCGGCAACAACACGTTCGCATGTACACATCCAACGTAATAAAGTACAAAATAGGTCATTCCACTTTTCCTATACAGACATTAAAGAAATTCGTCTAACATATGGTTTCTATTTATCGCAGGTAATACTGGCAGCGCGGGAAGGTCTCCATGGCAGCAGCAGGACAGAGGTGTTAGTTGACAGTACCGTGGAGGAGCTGACCATCATTATTCTGGGATACGTCTCACAAGCTTCCTTACACCCGCCCTCAGGTGAGTTCAACTTCTCCCGGCGCGAATATTTGACTTCACGTTGTCTTTTATATAAAACTAACTTGGACCAACATCAGCGTGGAGTACACCTACACAACTAAATTGATCATTACACATTCAATTATCATCGATTGTATGTAATCTAACAATTGAGATAGAACATATTGAGTGGCCTTCGAGCATTATTAGTTGTATAATAAAGCCAACAAATCACAGAACCATCACCTGCATTGGATCAAGAAGCTGAAATCAATTGTCATCCAAAATCTAAGACTTTTTTCAAACACATATAAAACGTACAATTGCAATTCCTCACGTTTTCGTCTCCCCTTCCGAATTATTCTTTCACTTCGTTTAATTGCTAAAAGCACGTTTGAGGCATTGTCAAGTCACATCAATCGGAATACTTAGGCGCACCAACTTTATCTCCGTGTAATTGGCTACTTCCATGAATCTACAGTTGCATAACGCGCCTGCACCTTTTTTCAAACAATGAAGCAGTTCTTGCTTATGGCATCCGCGACACATTGCAAATTATAAGTAATAACCGTAGCCTCAATGAACAAAAAGACGGCTCATACCTGCGCAGATGCAGGGCTTCCGCAGGCGCGCGCACACGCAGCCGAAACAAAAACCAACAGATTACTGAACCTGCATCACCTCCACCGCCTACTTTTTATCCAGGCGGCGACCGACGGAAGGAAAACATCACACCATAAGTCGAAGGGGCCAAAGTGCGAGCGCGTGATTGTAGCCCGCGTGCGAGTTTACGTGGCGCGTCTGTTTAGGCGCCGCAAAACCCCTCGAGATGGGAGAAGCAAGGCGAGGCGGCGCGGTGCGGTGCGGCTTTAGTCTGCGGTGATTCATGCGCGAAGGTCGCTTAGCCTTCCGGGTTGCTCCGTGCTGAGCCGCGCCGCCTCGCCCCGCACAGTGGTTGGAAAAAAGCCAAAACGCGCAAAAGACAATTAAAAAAAATTATAATTTTTACAACCGTATTCTTTCTATATGGAAGTAAAGTCTGAATTCCAATGATTTAAATACCTTTTTTTGTACATACAGTAAAATCAAGTTTAAATCGCTGATAATGCCTACTCCGTGTAATAGACGATACATCACACGTATATACTGCCTTATACTTCACACTGAGCCATTTTTATTTTACAGGAGTGGATTGGGGCAGTTCATTTTCTACGGGAACACTATTCTATTTATTAGTTAATATTACAACGTGTATTAATTTCACTAAAAAGTCGTCTCAGAATTTTCTTAAATTGGCCATTAAAGTTTATGTAGATAAGTTGCAATGTTGGCAGGCTGGCGTTGCGTAAGGCTTAATTGAAGGACAAATGTAGAATGTCCGCGAGAGAGAAATACATTTTAAAAGTTATAAAAAATAAATTTAATTAAGAAAAATGCAAGACAAAAAGGCACAATGGATCACGTTATTTTCACCGCTATGGACTAGAAGTTTTCAACAACCCGACCGTTTTACATCACAGACTTATCTTCTTTAGATCCAAGCTCATCGACGTTTCCAAAACTCTAATTTATGATTAAACGATACTTGTCCGCCTTCGCGCGCGTTTCCGCCTGCGTCGAGACCAGTGCGCGCATCGTTGGAGATGCGCCATGCACACGCCGCGCCCGCGCGCGCATGGCGCAACATCGCGATAGTGGGCGGGGTCGCGCCAGTCTTTGGACCGCTTCAGTCATCGCCGTCTCTGGGCGACCTCTCGCCGCAAGTGGCGCTTCCGGTAACATCACCCACCCCACCCCACCCCCGCCCAGCCCCGCAACACGCGTGCTATCTAAACGGTCTGCATGGTCAGGCGCGGATTCGGAGGATTACAGTCCGCATTTCTGTTGGGGTTTTTTCTGCTCACGAATGTATGGTCAGAGATTTTTTTTAAATTCTGAATTCGAAAAATCAATATGTGTTCAGAATTTCAAAAGTCACGAATGTTCCAAACAGCTTTCATGTCTAAAACACTTCCCTAAGATGACACCTTTCAGCCATAACAAAACATTTTGTTCCGTCGTATTGTTTGACTTCGTTATTTAATATTCTAGAAGAAAATTATTTTCCTTTGTGCACACATTTAAGCCTAACTCACTTACCAAAGTATCTTCCTCAATCGTTGTTTAACACGCGAAACATGAAATTCATATTAAAAACTGCATAAAGTAATGAACATAGAAACAATATCAGCTTCGTAAAAAAACCTAGTAAGCGCGGATTGCTCCTGACAGCTCTGCACGAAAACAAAATTATAACGCAAATGTCTGAAATAATATTTGCAATGTCGCCCTGTTCAGTTACGAAATAGGTAAGTACGTCACAATTACAAATAACGAAAACATTCAAAGAAACAGACAGTTTATTTCTATATTGATTGGCAGAAGTCTTTCCCTACACAAATTTCGCTTTGTCAAGGGGCTCTACTCCAGTTACTGTGGACATAGCAGGACGAGAAATCTACCGAAATGTCACGCTTCACTGAGCATTCACGCTATGACACATCCCAACCTTCACGCGCTGTCTGGTAACCCCAACAGCGCGTGGTTATCGAGCAGGTGTCAATCCAACATGGACGCTCCCTTCTGCCAAGAGCAATTACAAAAATACACTTCGGGCACTTGTGACAACTGTTCGTTTCGGAGGAAACGCCTTACATTCTATTCAACGTTCACAGAAACTACTCGAGTACGAGATCAGGAAAGAATTGTTAATGAGAAGCACTACAGGAAAACACACTCGCCAACACCGAAAACTTTAAAAGATCGCCAATTACAAATTAAACTAAAAACAAAGTACTTTGCTTACGTTTGTTACATTTAATAACGTAGGAGCGTTACAGTACCTACTACTGACAATAACAGTATTCTTACTTATTAACGTGGCAACTATTAATCAATGATCCTGAACATCAGACGACGAGACAGCACACTAACAAACAAGCTCGAAGATTAGAAACGATTAAAAAAAGTCATCAAAAAACCATGAATTAGTGAACAAACGTTAAACGCATGTTAAGTAAAGCAACACAGGCGACACCTATTAAAAGAGCAACTACGCGTCAAACAAAACACATCTTCGCTCAAGGCGCAGAAGCATCGTGAATGCGACGCTTCACGAAATCTGACAGACGGTGCCCCCAAGAACGTAAACAAACACAGCCCCTTCCCCTCCTAACCTAACCCTCGCGACGAGGTGCGTGAGCAGGGCACTTGCCGATGTCCAGGTGAGGTCATCGATCTGCTGGTGGTGCACGGCGGCGCGGCGGCGGAGGCAGCTGGCGACGGGGTGCTCGAACGCCGGCTCAATACTCGCGGGGAGAGGCCCGGCCGGTGGCAACTTACGACGAGCGACGGCAGCGGCAGCACCGGCGCCGACGCCGCCGGCGCCGCCAACCCTGCCGACGACGGCTACGACGTCATCGTCAAGGGCACCAGCGGCCTTCGCGTCGGCCTTCAGCGGCCCGGCCGCCCCGCCACGGAAGACACGGCGCTGGCCAGCAGCGGTAAGTGAAAAGAACGCGATGCCGAAAAAAGGGGGCGGTGTAAACATGCTTGTACCGTGAAGATTCGTAAGGGATCCCCTTCAAACATGATCTCTATACTATTTTTTTCGGTTTTTAAATAGATTACGCTTGTTTCACATTTCCAATTTAATTATCAATTTAAAAATATCTAGTTAGACCCGACAGAACATTCTGCACATTGTAAATCGTTTTCAATTGAGCTTCTAACAGTCCACTACGTCTTGTTAGCAAAGGCGCACGCGTCATTTAAGAAACAATTGAAGGCACAATAGAACGAGAAAAAGGTGGGAGAATGACTAAGCGTTATGCTCCGGTTGTGAGAGATTTTTCTGTCATACGTTGGATGTCAAGAAAAAAATCATGCAATTTTATGTTGGTAGTGCAATTACTTCCGCGTTTCCTTCCACTCCTCTCCTTCTTTCAATGATCACCCAATCTGTAATAGTGTATGGGCTGCAACTGGGGAGAAGTCATCTAGAAGACTCAAAAGCCAAATAGACGGTATCGGTTGTAAAGCATGCCATTCTTCCGGTAAGTTTTGAGCAATCCCTGGACTATTATTGCTGGAATTTAATCGTTTTAATTATAATTAGGCAATGTGTCGAGAAGCAAGGGCCACTATTTCAAATATATTGCTTATCCGTAATTGACAAATAATTTCATTATTTAAAATTAATTAACGATTGACCTAATATCATTGAGAGACGTAACAATTACAAATGCTTGTTTTAGTTGAATTTTTAAATTAAAAAACGCCATTGTTTAATTACAATAGCAATAACAAACCGCCAGTACCCTCGCCGTGAACAGATACAGTATCACGCACTAAAAAAACTGAAGGCATTTGCTGCACACTGTCATTGTTATATAATTTAGCTCTAATTAAACTCTAATTAAGAAATTTAAGTAATATAATATTAGGAATGAATAAAAATGTAAAAATAAATTAATTCGAAAGTTCAAATCTTGCCGCTTTATAATATAAAATTACATATGAATGTTCACCGCTCATTAATAGAGGAACAGAGGCATATAAATCTATCATTGGATTAACTCGTATTTACGTATGTTATGACGAAAAGGAATAGTTTCAACCTTCTTTCGCAGAATTATTTCCATTAAGAATGCTGCGAATCACATGACACCACAATATTTACTTTTAATTAATTTTGCACAACCACAAAAGGTTCAAAAAATACAATAATGTCCCTTTCAACATCCGCATATTCCTGAATAACCGTGCAATGCAATGTAGGTGATTTTTGTATTTTTTTCTAAGGAACTTTTGTGAAACCGAAAATGTTTGTTATCTACAGGGTGGCCACTCATTTCCTGGAACGAAGTTCCCCGACTTTTCCTGGTTTTATATTGCATTTTTTACGGATAAGATTTGTAATTTCACACTACTTAAAGTATTAAAGCCTCTTGATACTAATAACTGTATGATTTTACCATCACAAAGTAGAAATTATAAATAATTTCAACCCAAATAAAAATTGAGAAAAATAACGACGTACTAATGTTTTAAAAAAAATATCTTATTTTTAACCCTTTTCAAATTAACCCTGATATGTAACGATTCTTCTACAAATTTTCTGATTTTTTCTGCCCTTTTCCAGAGCAATGACATTCCCTGATTTTTTTCATGTTTTCCAGAAAGTGGCCACCCTGATCTAATACAAGTTGTTGCATTGGTCATAGAAAATCTTCGCTCTCGGCCTGTTGAAAGCAATATAAAAATTACTATTAATTCAAAAAACCTACTACTAATTATTTCAAATGCTTTCAAAACACCACCTGAAAGTTCAATTATTCAGTATTACTGAAAATTCAGTTTCGACTGTATTCCAATCTAAAACCTCGGAGGCAGTAAGAACCGCTTTGATATCCTACCAATAAGAATATGACTGCTATTTTGTAACGGCATTATTGCTCGCTATTTCCGCGTGTGATCACGGCGAGCTGTTTGACACGTGCCAGTGCGCAAGTGCCTTCGCCCGCCGCATCACGAGTCGCGCGTATCGGTCTCAGGGCGTGTGGGCAAGCCCGATAGCCTCAGGGTCATGACGAGGAGCTGGAATCTTGCCTTAGCGCAGTTTCTGCATACTACGTAACTTCTGAGGAGGATTCGTAATAGAAAGACCTTCCTTGCCCAACCTTTACTGAAACTTTTAGCCTAGTATGGTGCTGGTCACGCCCACGCTTATTTAGACGATGCTGAGGGAAAACTTAAAAGACCCTCCCTAGGCGTAATGAATGCAAAAGAACTTAAGGCTAAAATAATACGCTCCTGATCTCCACGAAAGAGAACAGTGGTATCGCACAGGAAACGCACAACACTCTTCCACGTACGCCACTCGATTCTTCCCCCAATGAACAGCTAAACCGTCACGGGCAAACCAAGGCCATCGAAATGCACGCACCTCGTCCTAACAAGCCAACGCCGCCGAGCCGGCTCTCACCTGGGGCGAGCCGCTTTTCCATCCACCCCGGAACCTACCTGGCGACAGCGGGACCGCAGAGGCTTCCACGCCGACCATCTGTGCGGACGGCGTGGGAGCGGCGCGGCGACGACGATTGTGAGCGCGAGTTCGTCAAACGCGGTGCCCGGACAGGCAGCGCAACGCGGGACGGGCCTCTCGCCTGCGGCGGCGGGGGTGTCCGAGGCACGGATCGATTTCGCGCGGGGGTGCGCCGGGGCGGGGGCCGCGGCGGCTGCGCGGGGGGAACGGGCGCGCAAGGGCGTCCGTGGCGTGGCGACTGCCGCAGTGGCTGGCGACGGCGTCGATCGAAAGAACGTCTCTCCTCGCGAGGGGAAGCACCGGCAGGCACGGGGCGGCGAGCGTCGCCAACAGTGCGCGTTAGAAAGACGATCGTAAAAGTGGCTGACCGTTCGCGCTACCGATACCTGTGTGTAACGGGGAGGGGTACGTGCGAGCTCGTTTAGGCTCGTGTTCTGCTGTGACGTCTACAGTGCAACGAAGGACATGGAGCAACCAACAGAACGATCTGGAACCCTCGCAATGCTATCAACCAGGTCTCATCGATCAGCAAGAAACGTGCATCCACCCTACATTGTGTTTCGACGCCCAGCGTATTGTACGAAACGTGTCCATCGCTCTTTCAACACAAACATGATCTACGGGGACGCAACTCGCACAGCTGGAAGTTCACGGGCGTCTGCTGCACTGGAAGCGCAGGAAGACGCTGTTGGAAGGTAGGCGGGCTTCTACTTACACACTCTTTGCCCCGTCCGGGCCCGTCGCGGCGCACTCGAACCCACACGCGCCGCGTCCACGCGATCGGACGCTCCGCGCCGACTGCGCGGGGGCCGAAAGCGCGCCCGAACGAGGACAGCAAAAGGCGGGCGCCACGCGAAACGGCGCGCGATCGGCCTCTGGCCTCCTTCCGACGCCCAGGCTACGACGCCGCGGTCGGCGGTTATACCGTTGAATCATTGAAAGAAGGAGAGGAGTGGAAGGAAACGCGGAAGTAATTGCACCACCAACATAAAATTGCATGATTTTTTTTCTTGACATCCATCGTATGACAGCGAAATCTCTCACAACCGGAGCGAGTTATACCTCGGTTTTTCTGTATAGCGGCCGAAGACATTAAGTCACTGTTACACCTGTCGCCGTTCTTTTCAATTAATTCACGAACGTCCTTAATGGGGGCTCGTGGCCTCGGAAATGTGCGTACCACTGTCAGAAAGATTCATTATATAAGGCAGGAGGAGTAACAATGACCGGATGACATCGTCCACTATAAAAATATCGAAGTATACTCTAAGAAGGGACCACCTTCACAGGTCCGGAAACAAATGAATACCATGCAGGGAGATGACGTTGCAAGAGATTTTGATGGAGCTGTTTACAAATTAGTTAAATGTACACAAACGCACTGAAAAAATTGTGTGTATGGACATAACCTGCAGTTATGCTGCCAGCAGTAGCTGTCAAAGCGGTCCCTTCTTATAGTGATCTCTCTGTTTAAGTATCGGGAAACACCTGATCGTCGGACGTTACCATATGGGTTCGTTCACCAAACCTCGCCAAAAGTAGCATGCAAAAAAAGGCAATTTAAAACAATTTTCAAGTTAAGAATGATGTGTTGTTCAAATTGTAAATGTTTATGTAGAAATATTACTTTTAAAATTCAAGTTATAGGAATAAAATTTCGAAGTGAGAATGCAAGTGGGGAAAACAATTGTAATAGTCTTCCTACTTTACATGAATAAATATTACTCTTGAGACTATAGTTATTACTCAAGAGATCCTAGGACGGGGAGGAAGAATCCATTTCACATATTGAGTCTTTAGAGAAGAAATAGATTTTATACCTCGTTGATTATTTCTCTTACATTACTATATCCGTTCTACCTAGGACGCGGTTTCATTAAAATCAGAAAAAAACCCATGTTCAATTTTTCTTCAATTATTTCTAAAAGGTTAAATCCCTATTTTTAGCTTTTCTTAAACTACAGCCTGCGGTCTAAAAAATAAAGTAATGATGACCTATGAAGCAACACGCCAATCTCGCCTGCATTCTCCTCACCAGAATGCTTCACTTGTCACTCCGTGAACAATGACAAAAGAACCAATTATATTAATCCTTGGCGTTCTGCACACACCATTACAACTCGGATAACACGTTTATAGTGCAGACTCCACATATTCACACAAGACACATAGCACTTACTCGTCAAATGCAGTCGATCACCAATCACAAAACATCCGCTTCAATAGACACCATCGATGTCTGCTCGCGGCGGCATATCTCTAACGTGTTCGCACCAAACTAGCCGTATGGACACCGCGTCTCTGACAAGCTGCAACTTATATCGCTGGGCGTTCGAGACCCGGGGACTTTGACACCGTCATTTTTGCCCGCTTTCGCGGCCGTTCAATCCCGCAAACAAGACGTCAACTTCATACGCACGACCAGCGGCCTGTTCACAAACGCAGCAGCAACAAACCCGAAAGAGCGTCCGGAGGCGGGAGCGAAGGAGGGGCTTTCGAGAGACATTTACGTCATACGCACTTGCTATCGCGTCGCTGGCACTGGAGGGCTACAAAAACGCACCGATAACTCCTTCCAGAGGGGCGAAAGGTTGCTTATGCAGCGGTCGAGTGCGCGTTTTCGTCAAAGGCGTCAATGGACATTTGTTTTGCTCTCGTTTTTATATGATTTACGTTCAAGAAGGAATAGGGAATGTGTTGTTCTAACTCAAAACAGTGAAAACATGATTCGCGCTGGATACAAGCGACAGCAGATTCCCCAGACCCCCCGCAAAACAAAAGTAGCATTGGCTTACAAACGTGTCGAACCATCTTCCACCAGCTTCAAATTAAGATCCGTGAAACACTGTTTCAAAAGAGTTAACGGTTCCAGCACTTTTCCTCTATTTTTGAGAAATCACCAACTTTGTTTGAGAATTTGACAGTGCTCCGTATAAATTCCATTATAAACGTTTCGTGCTCAGTTCTTCCAATAAGAAAGAATAGTAAATATTTTACTGACGTACATTCCACTAAGATCTGTGCAGTTGTTGAATCTGAATGTAATGAAATAAAATGTAACCCATTCCTATAATAAAAAATAGAAACAATCTTGGTAACATTAACGAAAATAATATTAAATACTGACGTTTTTTACATAGTGCAAAAATGGTAATTATCGGAATGCCTTTCGATACTAAAAAAAATATGAGGTTACAAAATTAACACTAACTCATCTTCATTTCACAAGTTCCTTCTTTAAAATTTTCTTACAAAAGACTGCCCAACGTCTGGATTCAACTATCCATGTCCAATCGTTCCCCCAGACGATCGCCAAAACGCGCAATCTGAATATTAATATGCACTCTGATTTCCAGGTGATCTCGTTGTCACCATCCACGGAGGACCTCGCACCAACGTTACTGGGCTTGTGCTTCTCGACCACAAAGGCAACGAACTGCGCAAAACGTTCTACAAACAGCGAACTCGCCGCGACCAGCACAACCGCGAAGTCATCGAGCTGTCGCTGCCGCAGACGGCGCTCGAACCGGAGCAGCAACTCGTGCCTCACTACGTCCAAGTAAACGGTTATAATGGGTATAATGGAGGCTCAGGTAAGATTCACGCAACTCTACATTTTTTTCATTACTATATTTTACTCTGTTCGCAACCATGCTTGCATTACTTGGCACAAATATATTACAAATCTTTCCAATATTGAAATACAAATGCGAAATAAAGAAGGAAGTAAATATCAAAAGACATGTAAACAACTTCTCTTTCACTAAACTATTACTCTTACAAATTTCAATTAAAAGACTAATGGAATAAAATAAATACGCATTATGGAGGTTCTTCGTCTTAATTCCTCCAGTCTATCAGTGCAAAAACTTCGCATGCCTTTTTTAGAGTCGGGATATAATTACAGGCGACAGTTCTAAACACCGTATCTTCTTTAATGCTAGATTTTGTTGGCCAAACACCCCTTTCTATCCATGCGTACGATGGGCCCTAATAGTTCTTTCAATTCGTCTAGTGTCCCTTTTATGTATAGGAGAAAAGCAGCAGATTCAAACATCACCCGGGATGGCAAAGACTCAAACTACAATACTTACGCCCTGCGTATACACCCGGTGTTTTCGAAATTAATATTGTGCTGACAGGCTGCCACACTCGGGGATGGCACACTTCTAAGAATCTTTGCTAAGAATATGTTTCACATTATTGTAATTGAAAGATTAAACGCACCAAAATTAAGGGTGCGCCAACTTTTGCATATTCATTGCGGCAAGACATTATAGTCAAAATATAAGCATATGACAATACAAATATATGACTAAATGATTCCCTGGGGGGACCGCGGGGGGAGCGCAATTTTAATTTAAACATCTAATAAACATGAATAGACTGCACTTGCACTGAAGACGCCCTATTTTCTGTTATCGCACAGAACGTAGCTACAAGTTAATTTTAATTTCTTGCCCATTTTTGTGTGTATTTGTCTTGATTACAAATCTATATATCCCATTCCTTATTAACACATGGCATGTTGTACAATAAAAGTATAAAGAATACAAGTAGGTTGGAATCAAAATTTCTATGTTACAATTAAGATTTTCGGGTGTGTCAACAGCTGTGGTCATTAGTCCCTTTAGTGTAGTGAAGGTGACGGTGTTCCTCCCTTGCTGAACGTTGAGTTCCGGTACTGCCTTTCACTGCAGATTCCCTCACCCCCCAGATATCGTATCCAGAGGCGAACAGCCCCAGTCGGAACAAGCTAACTTCCGACATGATAGTGTAGTACAGGCAAGAGTGTGTTATGAGAGAGAGAGAGAGAGAGAGAGAGAGAGAGAGAGAGAGAGAGAGAGAG